GACTCTTTTACTGGTATCGAAGCATTTCATTATTGTCTATGTTTTTATTCTTAATCGAAAATAGTACATCTATCGTGAGTACGTGTATGGCAGTTAGTGTCTACTCTATGGGCTACATCATCTACATGATATCAAGTGGTGTGTGTGCTCGATCGTCACATCTTTAAAGTGTCTTTACCATGAAGCTACGCAGTATAGTAAAATATATAGGAAGTGCATCGTGAAGCTTCGTATCGTGCAACTTAGACGAGAGATGTGTTATATTCTGACAATAACGAGAAAGGACTAAATTTTACCATACCACAACACATTATAATTCCTACAGTAATTAGGGCAAATATTGTTCGTATCGGACGCATTTGTAAAAATTTTGTTCTTTTACGATGATCTATGTTTGCATGTATATTAATTCCATAAATCTTTGGATATTGTCTCTAGGTGAACAGACCTACAACATCGTCTACAATAGCGTCCTAAAATAGTGCTCTTATTTATGTTTAATGCTAACTCTGTCGTAGTGAATCCTCAACTATGCTTTTAAACAGAAGCAAAGCTTCGGGTAAAAGCCATAATCAATTAAAGCGGACTATTTTAATTTTAATATACTTCGATATATCAACTGTTTGGTCGATGGTTGTGCGCATACAGTCGATACAGTCGTTATCAATTTACCAGCTTATTCTATCGGGCGGTCATTTTTACAGTAAAATTATAAAACTTTCATAAGAACTAGTAAAGTACCGGCTTGTACTTTACTACATTATAATGCATACCAAACAAAGTAGATAGGTAGGTAAAGCATAACTAAATAGTCGCGGATCGGCTGTTTATTTGAGAGTTTGCATCTCAAAATACAACGAGGTAATAATATACATTGAGCTGTAGATCGGTAGTTTGACTGATTTATTAAAAAGCAGTCGATGTGGTTTTTTTAATATTGTCGAGCAACTATCGAGTTAATCATATGCGGATCTCCATACATTTCCAGGTGGTTTTTCGGTTTATATAGAAAATTTTAAGACATTTTTTAGGTACTATTTTCGTCAATGTTGTCTATACACCGCTTAGATAAAATGATAAAATTTTAACTTTTGGTTTTGAACGACTTTGCGGAATGTTCAAATTCAATAATTTCTGTATTTATTGAAAACTTAAATCGATTAGGTTTGGAATATCAACACGTAGAGTATAAAAGTAAAGGAAAGCAGAATTTCGTTTTAAAGTGACGGGCGGCATAAGGTGGCTTTCTTAACATAATGTATTTTTTAAGATTTATTTTTAAAATACAGTAAAAATATGGTAAATACTTTTTATTAAACTTTTTATGAAGTTACAGGAAGCCAGTGTCCAGGAGTGGGATATATATAAGGTATAGTCTGTAATTTTACTTTTACTATTAAATGTACTAAGAAGGTCATGTTTTAGAAGCTAACACTTGGAAATTATAGTTTTTGCTTCTGTTAGGGATTGTATAATCAACTAAACGACTTGAATCGATTGTGACTATATTTTTGCGGTTTATTGCGGTCATATCCATTCAACATATTTGCTTTGTCGAGCCTTTTGTTCATTGCTATTCTAGGATCCGTTAGATGGCGCTGTAATCAACTCATATTCATAATACTTGTTGGTTTAGTGCCAAAAAAGATTTTTTGTAGAAATTAAAAAAAAATCTAATAAAATAATGGAGATAGAATATGAGAGACAAGGGACCATACAGTCCATCAGATGGTAAATAGGTGCTGAGGCCCGTAGACATCGACATCTATACTCGTTTCAAAATCAAAATGTAGGCTCGTTGGTACCCTGTGGTGTAAGATGGAATGCATCGTTATCAGTATAACGTATCTCCGGTTCTCTACACTCAACACTCACCATACATAACATAGCAACATTATTCTGCTGTTTGACACTGGTATTCTATAAGAGCGTAGACCTACCCAAGTTGAACCGACCCATTCATGCCGGACCTGTAAGTTAGTCAAAATAGCAGCGTATGGCTTATCACCTTGCCTAATTGTCTGGGTGAAGGACTTTCTGAGTGAACGGTCTCTCCGGATCGTCGTTGATGGCTGCTCATCCGATACTGTAGCGACTAACGCCGGTGATCCTCAGGGGTCCGTTCTCTCCGCAACTCTCTTCCTGCTGCATATAAATGATCTGCTCATTCCCGGTGTCTATGGGTATGCAGACGACAGCACAGTTGTGAAGAAATACCAACCAAGCGCCCGGGCCAGTCGGGATCAAATCCAGTCAGAAAGAGAGGCTATGGTTGAGCGTGTGAGTCTCACACTACAGGCAGTCTCCGAATGGGGCGATGCCAATCTCGTGAGATTTAACGCCTACAAAACACAAGCGTGTCTTTTTACCGCTAAAAGGAGCCCGCTCACCTTGGCTCCTACTTTCTGGAATGTATCCTTGGAGTACACTGACCGCCTTCAGTTGTTGGGGATTGAATTTTCTATGAACCTAAACTATAGGCGGTTCATTGAGTCCAGAGCCAAAGCAGCCGCAAAGAAACTTGGTGTCCTTGCAAGGATGCGACGGTACTTCACGCCAGAGTAGCTTCTTACCTTATATAAAGCGCAAGTCCGGTCGTGCATGGAGTACTGCTGTCACATATGGGCTGGTGCTGCAAAATGCCACCTGGCAGCATTGGACTCAGTGGAGAGACGTGCTAAGAGGCTCATTGGTGACTTTGATTTGGTTGAAACCAATCTTGTCAGCCTCGAGCACAGGCGCAGAATAGCCAGTCTCTCGGTATTCTATGGGATGCGGTGAGTGTGCGCAGGAATTACACGCCTTAATTCCTCCCTCTCCTTTCCACCATCGGACAACCAGACAGTCGGCGGGTCTTCATCTCTTTGTTGTAGATACTCCACGCATTAGAACCAAACGGTTTGCTTCGTCTTTTGTAATGCGTACAGCAAAGGAGTGGAATAATTTGCCGGCGTCTATCTTTCCGTCCGAATACAAGCGTCTTCAAGGCAAGAGTGGCTTTTGTTACGATAAGACAGTGCGATTTACCATCTAAGGCTGCATCACCACTTACCACCAGGTGGAATTGTGGTCAAGCACTGGCTTATAATAAGTAATAAAAAAAACGGTATGTTATCCGTTTGTCATCCGATTGGTTATATTATTAAGTGTAAAAGTAGTAACTGAATATTAAGATTTTAAACAAATTTAATTGTTGACTGGTCCTGATAACAGAACGGGTTTAGGATCGTCTCAGACTGGCTGACTGACTGGCCTTTCCCAAATTATGCAGATGCACATTAATTACATGGGAGATTTTTACTCCGTGCTTATTTCACTGGAGAGGTGCGTTGGTGAACACAGAGCTGATATCCTCGCCTCACCTCGGACGATCTATACAATCAAACTTATTTAATCCTCTTGGTAACCTATTAATATAAGAGCGCCGGATTGTCCGCACACGAATATAAGACTCATTGAATATTATGAAAATCGCAAGATAAGATAATTATATTTTCTCTATTGGGAGTAAAACTGTTACAAAATAGCTAAAAAATGATACAGACCTAATGACTTAATAAAATTGGTAGCAAATAAATGAAATAACATGGAATAAAAAAGTTTGTTTTAAAGAACATTTAACCTTTTTATATTTACAAAATAGTCCTAAATTATTTCGTTTTTTCATAAATTTTCTAAAATGATATACACTTAATTATTTTCTCTTAGCGAGAATATAAATACTATACACAACGGGATAATGAAACTGGCTACGTACTAATTATATTCTCAATGGTTATGACCGATTAACCGAGTGGGGTCGTCACGGCAATCATACTGCTAGGTTGCGAAGGATGATGTACTCGTATTTGGGAGAGCTGAGGAGTTACGTTAGTAATAGTTAATATTATTTGTTCTCGCTCAGGCAATGGTAATGCTGCTCCTCATCAGCAATCTGTTAAAAGTAGACTCGATGTATTTGGACTGTACTTGTAGTAAGTAGGTCTGCATTGGCAATCGAAGATGTAGTGGTGTATCTTCCCTAGGTAATACCTGGAAGGGAATATAATCAATTGTTCCTTACTTATATAAAAACATTGAAGAGTAAACAAATCAAAACATAGGTACTTTCTAAATAAAAATCTTGACAAAATAGTATTTTGATTTGTTTTAATATGAATGTAATATTTAAATTCAATAATTAATTTTCTAAATAAGCGATAAATGTTATGTACATAATATTACGGAAACAGGGTCAACTAGAAAAGCAGGTAAGTATTTGAAATAAAATCGTTTTGATTGAGGACTACTGTACAAAATAGATTTATTAAGTTCTGCCTCTTGTCAACGGCTTGTAACCAATCTGATCTGCTGACGCTGATGCCGATGATACGCCTGTCCCTTCAAAAAGATGTCATTTAATAGATATCTTTCTAACATTTCCCATAGAAACCTCTTACGCCACCCATAGGATGAAATAGGTGATGGATTTTTTTACGCCTTATCACACACTATAGCTTATCAGAGTCCACTATTGAACATATGCTCCTCTCATTTCTTGTCTCCTTTGGAGGATTTTTGATATGGTTTTCACGTTTAACAGGCGGGTCACATTTTTCTGTTATTTTGACTGGTCATCAAGAAGATGCTTATGCTGTCACCTATCTTCTAATTTTTCTTAATTTTTGCGACATAATATTAAAATATTTGTATAAACACGGAATATGTACGTAAAAAAAACTAATATTATGGTTTGTCACTTTAAATTTGTATCGCTCTATAGCAATTAATATATACAACATTCAATTTCTCTGTACAATATGAGGAGGGTGAAAGAAAAAGGTTATTGAAAATGGTACTGAAAATTAGGCGTGGGAGCGCCCCAACTGCTCGTGACAAAATATAACCGCAGCGCGTAAATCTTCTGACTTTTGTTTCCTTATACGTGATTTGCAAGATATGATGAAGATAATATTTTTGCTGAAGAACTAAAGCACATTGGAGAACAAGGCATAAAAATAATGCGTGATTTATGCAATCTCGTATGGAATACTGGAGTTTGGCCCACTGACTGGAAAAAATCACTAGTGATTCCGTTACACAAAAAAGGATCAACGAGAGTATGTGGGAATTATCGCACGGTGGCTCTGATATCTCATGCGAGCAAGATAATGCTGTATACACTCAATAGTAGATTACAATCCTATCTACAGTGGCAAATACCCGGTGAACAGGCGGGATTTGTTAAAGGACGGGGCACAAGAGAACAGATCGTGAATGTGAGGCAAATAATTGAGAAAAGCCGGGAGTTCAATACACCTGTGTTCATGTGCTTCATTGACTACTCTAAAGCATTTGACTGCATAAGATGGAATTGTTTATGGGACATACTCCGGGAAATGGGCGTACCTCAACATCTCATAGTATTGATTGCCAATCTGTACCAAGAAGGCGAATCCATGGTTAGAGTCAATGGCGTCATATCTGGACCATTCAAGCCAAGAAAAGGAGTAAGACAGGGATGTATCCTGTCTCCTATCCTGTTTAACATCTACGGGGAATATATAATGAGAAGGGCCCTAGAAGGATGGGAGGGAGGAATTTCAATCGGGGGTGTTAAGATCAGCAACCTCAGATATGCGGATGACACCACACTCTTTGCATCATCGGAAAAAGAACTCGCTCAACTCTTTCGCAGATTAGAGGTAGAGAGTGGACTGGCTGGACTTAGTATTAACAAGTCCAAAACAAAAGTTATGTTGATAGACAGAACCGGTCAACTCTCTAGGACTGGAGAACTCTCGGACCTAGAATTTGTGAGTGAGTTTGTTTACCTCGGATCGCTACTTTCGGACAGAGGAGGAAGTGAACAAGACATAAGAAGACGAATCCAAATAGCCAAAGGTGCAATGAGTAGATTAAAAAGAATTTGGCAGAACAGAAAAATCTCTAATGTCACCAAAAAGAGACTTGTCAGAACTTTAGTGTTCTCCATCTTCCTTTATGGCTCTGAAGCATGGACGATTCGAGCAGCAGACAAGAAAAGGATTGATGCGTTCGAAATGTGGTGTTGGAGAAGGATGCTTCGGATACCATGGACCGCTAAGAGGACCAACGAATCGATCCTGGGGCAGCTTCGTGTTGACACCAGACTCTCTACCACGTGTTACCGGAGTATTCTGAGTTACTTTGGTCATATTGCCCGACGCCCACCTAATAACTTGGATAGACTTATAGTCGTAGGTAAGGTGGGGGGCAAAAGACCACGCGGCCGATCATCTAGCCGCTGGTCAGACCAGGTCAAATCACTCACTGGCCTCTCACTCACGACTGCAATGCAAAAAGCCGAGGACCGGACAGAATGGAGGGCTATAGTGAACAGCGCTACGAAGGCACTAAAATACGGACACGACCTTCAATTTTGAAGAACACGACCAAGAAGAAGAGAACGTGATTTGCGACTGTCGTTATTAAAAAACACACTCTTAGCTTCGTAATCATCGTACGAAAAAACTGGTTGTACGTTATCATCCAAGTGTTTAATAATGATATAAGAATAAGCGGATAATATCGGTATGCTTACTTTGAATATTTATTGCGTATTTTAAAATTCCCGTGTAATTTGATTTACCGTGTACTGGCGGCATAACTTAATTCACTGTTCTAAGTCATTCAATGGGTGTCGTAACACCTTCTTGATAACCACTCAAAATATAGAACACTGTGGCTGTTATTAACCCGCCTACGAGGGTGACACTCAAAGTTATTAGAAGTGGTTACTTGTAAATGATATAATAAAAAAATACGAGTAAGTTCAAATTTTGAAAATGGAACTCTTTGCTAATATTATTATGTATGTCTTTTATTAATTTGTCATTTGTGTACGATTTGGCGGCAAATTAAAAATTGTCTGTGTCACGTTTGTATAAATTTAACGCGACAAAATTTTCATATAATGATTTTTTACGACTTTCGATGTCATTTCAGTCAACAAGAAAGTTATGATAGACTTCGATTGATTTTTCACGATGAAGTCCCATCTCGTGGCACTGTTTCCAACTGGTTTACGACTGAAGACAACATTAGTGTTCTGCGGCGTATGATAGAGACTGACAAAAGAGTGACTTATCAGCAGATTCGTACAAGTTTAGGCATCACATGAACATTTAGCGGTCAGGAAGCTTTGTGCCTGGTGGATACATCATAATTTGACAGAGGTCCAAAAACTACGCCGTGTTGATTGGTGTCGTGAAATGGTTCAAAGATTTAACGGAGGTGACTCAAATGCTATGTTCGACATACATACGGGTGACGAAAGCTGGATTTATGGTTATGATCCTGAAACTAAAAGACAGTCTGGTGTCTGGTGTTTCCTAACTAAACTGAAGAGAGGTCGAAGCGTGGGAATAAAGATGGTGGCCTCGTTCTTCGGAAGGACAGGTCATTATGCAACAATTGTTTTAGAGGATCGAAAAACAGTTACTGCAGAGTACACTTACAATTGTTTGCCACTTGTCTTGGAAAAAGTTCGGGAGAAACGACCTCGCAGTAGGATCCTCCTTCACCACGACAACGCCTCGTCGCACACTGCCAAGCAAACAATCGACTACTTGGCGATGTCAGACGTGGAATTACTGGGTCACCCGCCCTATAGCCCCGACCTCGTACCTTGCGATTTTTATTTATTTCGTTTATATTATGAATATCCGGTTGTTGCACCGAAACCATTGATTTTAATTTAGGACTCAGCCTATTCGGTGTAATGTAACTGATTAATCTTTTTTAAATAACCTTTAAACTCCTCCCTCGCACGGTAGGTTTTCTGATCCAATTTATGTGTAAGTATATAAATTAGAAGTATGTCCCAATGCTGAACTGGTTTGCCTAACGATTCTAATGCCCTCAGGTTTTTACTTAATAAATCGATTAAGCGCTTTAAAGTTACAGACGACTCCCTTGTAATCGTTTCTAGGTTAAATAAGGCTGACACATGATTTTGAACTAACAATCGTTTATTGTTAAACCTCTCAGATAAGACATTCAATACCATTGTATAGTTACTTGCAGAAAAATCAAATGATTGAATTACCACAGCAGCAAGCCCTTCGAGAGACGCGCGTAAATAATGAAATTTATTAATTTTATCGATTTCATCATTAGAGTAAATAAGGCTATTAAAGGTATCATGGATCTACAACCAGTTCTCGTATGATTCACAAAATTTTGGCAAAAGTATTGTAGGTAACTTAACGAACTTATGATTACTGACTCGAGAACTCTTGTCACTACCTGCCGATTCAGAGTTAGCATTATGGTGAACTCTCAGTAAAATTTGAGCTTTGGCTAGCGCCTTGTAATACTGAGATTCAAAGCATCAACGCTCAGTTATTTGTAAGTCTGGCTTGTCGATAATATATTCTATGCGCTGCACACACATAATAACTGCAACTCATCATATTGGTTATACAATGTATCCCAATTTACCCATACTCATTTGAAATTCCGTCGCATCATGATTTTGTAAAGTTGTAATAAGCTAATCCACGTAACTAATGAAAGCAGTTAAGCGGCCTTTAAAACTACCACGCTTCTTGATCAACTCCTTTTCTTTGGTCATTCTGGAAGACAGGAGTATTCGACCTGGAATGTATAGAATTACGAATATTCAGTAACAATCTCCGACTATCTAATGCACTAACTCACTACTAAGCTCTGAAAAACTCCTTAAAACAAATGTGCTAATTGCAGCGTCCATGGTAAGCTAACACCATTACAACTATCTAACAACCATTTTCAATAAATCACTTTCACAATCCTTTACAGAAAATCGTATTAACTAACCGTAACCGTACTTATTTGGTCATACCGTTTTGGAGATAAATGGGAACATTCGTTTGCACAAATGTGCTTATTGCAGCGCCCCATGGTGAATTAACACTATAAAAACTATCTATGAACCAATTCCGATAAGTCACAAACACTATATATGTGCCGGACGGGCGAAACTCTCCGGAGTAAATGTTGTCGAAGATACTCCGCGAGTCGCTCACGTCCTACACCTATAGGTTCCGGAGGATACTTCTACTGCCGTCTCTGTATGCTGCTGGAAAACTGTGGACTGAAGGTTCAAAATTAAAATGCACGATTTATAAATACAAATAGCAAGGGAGTGGCCAACCGCGAAATTTTATAACTATTATTTACTGACCACGGTTGTTGAATACGGTTGTTGAACTACAGTTGTTCACTATCGGTTGATCACTATATATTTCAAAAGATTTAATTAAAATATGCGGTAGTATGAAAATATCTATTGGTAGTAGCTGGTTTTCTAACACTACTGACTAGCAGCTATTAATCAACTAAAACTAGTTGATTTTATCACTTGTGTAACTGCGAATATCAGTTACCACTTTCTGCGATTAGCTATCACTTTTACTATATGTAACTGCGAATGTCAGTTACCACTTTTTTCGGCTAGCTAACACTTTTTCACTATATGTAACTGCGATTTTCAGTTACCACTTTTTTGGCTAGCTAACACTTTTTCACTATATGTAACTGCGATTTTCAGTTACCACTTTTTTGGCTAGCTAAGACTTTTTCACTATATGTAACTGCGAATTTTCAGTTACCACTTTTTTCGGCTAGCTAACACTTTTTAACTATATGTAACTGCGAATTTTCAGTTACCACCTTTTTCGGCTAGCTAACACTTTTTCACGATATGTAACTGCGAATTTTCGGTTACCACTTTTTTCGGCTAGCTAACACTTTTTAACTATATGTAACTGCGAATTTTCGGTTACCACTTTTTTCGGCTAGCTAACACTTTTTAACTATACGTAACTGCGAATTTTCAGTTGCCACTTTTTTTGCCTAGCTAACACTTTCACAATTCACTATATACTGCTGCTAGTCACTTCAACTACTACCGGATACTACTGCTTGTCACTGGTAATTCTTCACACTACAACGTTGCTGGGTCTCGTGCCCATAAGGTAGACTTCCGCTATACTTTATAGTGAGCCGCTTGCCATTTTCCATTTTGCCTCTTTATTGCATGAAATTTTCACTACTATGGAGATTGGGGCCTCCACCATGGGCCTCCCGCCGGTTTTGAAGTTCCGGTAGATATTCTCGGACCCAATGCTGCCAGAACATGTCAGCGAGTATCTGGGAGCGTCGCCAGTGCCTTTTGCTATGTATATCTTTTTTATCAAATACTCCAGGTGTCGGCAGTCTCGCAGATCCTCCCAAAAGGAAGTGATTCGGAGTGATGGATTCGTTGTCATTTCTGTCTACAGAGATGTGAGTCAATGGTCTGCTATTTGCTGTGTACTCCACCTCGCAGAGCAGCGTGGCTAAGCCCTCTTCACGTGGATGTCTCTCATGAAGAACGGTGTATAGTGCCGTCTTCACGCATCGTATGAGACGTTCCCACACCCCTCCCATGAAAGGCGGGGAGGGGGTTATAAAACGCCACACTATGTCTCGTCGGCTGGCTTCTTGTCGAAAAGCCTCTCGAAGTTCCTTGTCTGCGCCGTGCATGTTGGTGCCGTTGTCGGAATAAATATCGGTGGGACACCCTCGGCGCGCTGCAAATCTTCTTAAGGCCAGTATTGCGGAATCTGCGAAGATTTGCGACAATTTCTAAGTGGACAGCTCTGGATGTGAGGCAGGTGAAGAGAGCCACGTATCTCTTCTGGTGTTGACGTCCCACTGTGACGGAGAGTGGCCCAAAATAGTCCAGACCTGTGAAGGTGAACGGTCTCTGGTGATGAGCGAGACGTGCGCTGGGATGATCACCGGTGGCTGGCACGGATGGTTGCACTTTTCTGATCCGGCACTGTACGCATTGGCTCACTATCCTTTTCGTGGTGGGTCGAAGTCGGATTACGCAGTTGTGCTGTCGAACCTCGTTGATGGTAGGGTCGGTTTCGCAATAATGCAGGCTACGATACGTCCAGTCGATATACAGTTGAGTGACGTAATAACCACCATCCAATATAGCTGACCCTTTCATGTCTTCCGAGACTCCCTTCACGGCAGTTATGCGATTTCGTAGAGCGATGATCCCGTCTTTTAATTCTATTTGGAGCGGTCGTAAGCGGCTATCATGGGCGACCTTTTTATTGTTACGGAGATCGGCTATTGCTTGTTTGAAGGAGTCTTCTTGGATGACACGTATTACGAGCTTTTCGGCCTCTCTGATGAATTCGGCCTCGAGTGTGATGTACCTTTTGACATCTCTATTTTTCACTTGACTGGGAGGCTGCGCGAGGTATCGCGGATTATTTTTCGTTTTCCTCCAGTCGGGATCTTCCTCTTTACTTCTTTTGGTCCTTTTATAAAAGATTCTATCAGTGGTTTTGCGGAGGATGAGCCGCTTGCAATTTTCTATTTTGCCTCTTTATTGCATGAA